GGTTAAGCATCATCTTGGCTTAACTTCGGTTAAGCATCATATTGGTTTAACCAACTTGTAAATTGCTACAAATTTCAACAAGTGGTAAACATATTCTTCTTCTCTCTGCCCCCTGCATGGCTTCCACATACTCCTTTGCGAACCTTATAAAAGGTCTTCAACCTGACTAACTGCAGTCCAACCTTGTGTGTTTTCTTTTTTATCTTCTGGGATCTGAGATTTGCTCACTGAGCTCTTCTTTTTTCGGACTTAAGTGCCGAGATTTTGTCTGCTAGAATCTTGGATCTGGTCACTCAGGTTGAGCTCTTTTCTTCTCGGACCTACTCATCTAGGCCGAGATCATGTCTTCTAGGATCCGAGATCTGGAATCCGGGATCTGCTCACTTAGGTTGAGCTCTCTTCTTCTCGGGCCTACTTGTCTAGGCTGAGATCATGTCTTCTCGGATCCGGGATCCAGGATCTGGAATCCGGGATCTGCTCACTCAGGATGAGTTTTTCTATACTTGAATGTTATCATCTCCTTGGGAGCGCTCATGCCCCCTGTCTTTGCATCCCTTCTGGAAGGGTCTTCGTTCCTCCGCAGGTATCTATCCTTCCATACTTGGAGGCCATCTTCGTTGTAGTATCCGCTTCGATCTATTGTCTTTGGTGTGTCACCTTCCTGGCCGGCGTCTTTCACTCCGTGACTCTGGTCACGAGTTTCTGTGTTGCGGTTGTCCCCTTCAACGTCGAGGTTAATAGATCTCCCATTCCTAGCAGGAGCGTTGTCTCCAGTCTGATCATTCTGTCCGTCATTGGCCATCTATTCTTCTTTCTTTTATTGGTCATCTATTCTTCTTTCTTTCCCACAGACGGCGCCAAATTGTGTGGAAAATTTTCCGACCACACTGCCAACTCAGTAATTCAGCTGGAGAGCACTGGCAGAATAGATGGCACCTGACTGACCTGCAATAGAAATATAAGAATCCCGCGGTGGTTCGTCCACTCGGGGGCACTCCGACGATCAAGTCAGTATATCTCTCAAAGATAATCAATTATTCAACTCACAAGCTTGAGCCAAAAAAGCATACCTTAGACCCATGAGGGTGCCTCTCTTTTATAGCCAACATAAACCTAGTTCCAATAGAAGCCTAACTTCTATAGACTTAGGATTACTACTAATCTTGGACTCCCAGTAAGATTAGGATAAACTCTCTAAGAGTCTTATCTTAATACAAACTGAAGTCTTCTCTCATTCTAGGACTCTTGTCCCTCATCCAGGTTGAGTTCCCTTTTCATTCTAGGACTCTTGTCCCTTATCCACTTATCTCGAATTTCGATATCTTCGGAGATAACCTCGGTCTTGCCGAGATCACCTCGGCGTCATGACCAGGACACGTGGCACCTCGGCTGACACGTCGGCGTCACCTTGTCATGTGTTGGTACTTAGAAAATATATCCCCACAATTATATTAATTTTTTCAATTATGTACATATTATTCAAAAAATGTGTACCATATACTAACTATAAAAAAATTATATAATTTCATCTTTTTCAAGTCATAATTAAAAACAAAATTATATAACTAACAAGTATGAAATGTGATCACTAAGGGGTCATCCTAGTTAGTAAGAGAGCATATTCATCTCCTTACTGACCAGGGTTCAAATCCCTTATTACTCAAGTGGAAGTTTAACGATTTAGATGAATCGACTAGTTTCTCCTAATTTGACTTGCAATGGTAGATCCTAAAAATCCTACCTGAGGAGTGCTCTGGATAAAAAATAAAAACATAAAACAAAATAAAAATTATGAAAGGTGTGGAATAGAATTCTCTACTCACATTCACTTTGTAGGTGTTTGGGAAGTTATTATTTTAGTAGGTTTTTTTAGTTTTTGATTATTTTAAGAGGTTAAAATTTTTGTATTTGGGAATACAATTAACTTTTTTTGTAATTTGATGTAATGTTTGTGAGAAAAAAAATAAAATGATTATAGATTTGATGTGACATTTTATCTGAATTTATTTTTTTAATTTTTTAATCAATTTTATATTTTAATATTATGTACTATCAAAAGGGTAATTTTGGAAAATTAACTTTTTTCAAATGCAATAAGTGTACTACCAAAAAAAGTTGGATTCTCCAAAAGGGACCAATATTTTGGGACGGAGGGAGTAATATTAATTATATTATGGACTTTGCTGGGGACCCCAGTGAGGGAGACCCCCAGTGACCCCTAGTGCCACATGGGGCTCTGCCGTTGGCTGAAAGCAAAAAAATAAATAAATAAATTTTTGGACCAATCAAAAGAGACCCCAACAATCCCACTGGGGTCTCATGCATTTTCCTTATATTATACTATCGTACACGCGTTAGGATCCTCTAGAGTAATATATCTAGAGTGATCTCCTAAAGTGAAGAGAGGGAGAGAGACACGTGTCCCACTCAGTCTTCCAAAGGTTGAGATTCAAACTCACCAAAACGACGTCGTTTTGGTGGGTAAATTGGGAAAAAAAAAATTTAAATTTTCCTATCCTGGGTTTATTTCTTTTCACACATGGGCCATTTAAAATCTGTAGGTAGAAGGCGTGATTTCGTGAGCTGGCTACGCAGCGTTAGGATCCTCTAGAGTAATATATCTAGAGTGATCTCCTAAAGTGAAGAGAGGGAGAGAGACACGTGTCCCACTCAGTCTTTCAAAGGTTGAGATTCAAACTCACCAAAACGACGTCGTTTTGGTGGGTAAATTGGGAAAAAAAAAATTTAAATTTTCCTGTCCTGGGTTTATTTCTTTTCATCATTCCTGGGAAAGTTGTGAGAGAAGGGCTGAGAATAAAAAAGATAGGTGATGAGAATTTCAAAGAAAAAACATGGATAATGAAAAGAAATTGCCAGAAAATCAGATTCAGAAATGGGTAAGAACCCACCTAAAGATTCTAAGTAATTTAGAAAAGAAAAAAGAAAAAAAAATTAATAATAAAAAGTACACAATAACTCTAAGACTCTCCCAGGAACCTAATAATCAACAATCGCAAAAGCAAATTATGAAGAGAAATCTTCCAAGAAACCCAAAATCAAACAATCATATACAAACACATACCCATCAAGATTGCATTTCCACAATCTAACATAGAAACCCAAAATCAAGCAATCATAAAACATAAACAAATACATATATACCTATCAAGATTGCATTTTCTCGAATCAAACATAAAACCCACAATCAAACAACACATACCCATGAACAGAGTTCGGCGGAGGAGATCGGCCATGCCGGCGACGGAGGGAGGAGATCGGCCACCGGAGTTCGACGAAGGAGATCGGCCATGCCTCCTCTTCTCTCCTCTCAGTCCTTCTCTCGATTTCATATTCATCTCCAGATCTGACTTTTGAATTATTGATTTCTTGTTTTTCTTCGATTTTATAACTATGATTTTCAAATATGATTTCGAGATCTGATTTCGAATCTTTGATTGTTTTTCTTTCAATTTCATATATTTGATTTCCAAATCTTTGAATTCTTTCGGTTTCATATTCATTGAGACGATGATGATGGAAATAAAGAAGAACGAGATCTATAAACAGCTTTGTTACCCATAAGAGGAAAATTTTGATTTTTTTTTTTCAATTTACCTACCAAAACGACGTCGTTTTAATGAGGTTGAATCTCAACCCTTGGAAGGTTGAGTGGGCCACGTGGCTCTCTCCCTCTCTTCACCGCATTAGATCACTCTTGGATATTCCTCTAAGGATCCTAACGCATCGTACACACCCGTATGCCTTATACGCCTTTACTGTATGAATAAAAACCGCAGTTCCCGAATTAGATGGCACTAGCCACTCTCATTCACTGCTCCATTTGGTTTTCCTCTCATCCTTCATCTTCATCGTCGTTGAATCGTATTACTCGATTGATACTCAACAGACACACTCGAAACCAGAGTTTGAAGACAATGGCTTCCTCATCCCCATCATCATCCACTCAAGTAGTAACCCCCGATAAAATCATTGCTCCATACGGTTCTTGGAAGTCTCCAATCACCTCTGACATCGTCTCCGGCGCCGAAAAGCGTCTCGGCGGCACCGCCGTCGACGATCTCGGCCGCCTCTTCTGGCTCGAGTCTCGTCCCGCTGAATCAGGGTATATATATATTGACTTAAACCCCATAAACCCTAGGGTCGAGTAATCTATGTAGTTGATTCCTCTCTGTTTTTGTTAAAAAAAATTTAATGCAGACGAGCTGTTCTGGTTAAAGCTCCAGAGAATCCTGGTGATGATCCTATTGATATTACCCCCAAAGAGTTTTCGGTACGCTCTGTGGCTCAAGAATATGGAGGTGGTGCATTCAAGATTGTAGCTGATTCTGTAATTTTCTCCAATTACACAGATCAGAGACTTTACAAGCAGTCAATTGAATCCAGAACCAGAGGTCAACCTTTTAGACTGCTCTTCATATGCACATTAGCTAATTCTTTCAGTTCTTGAACTATATATCAATGTTTGATTCAGTTACGAAGTTTTTATACAAGTGAACTTCAATTATATGTAGATTGTTTAGTTTAATATGGTTTTAAGCTATTGGGAGGGGTTTTTTACCTCTTTCGATGATGCACAGTTGGACCAATTGTACTTATTGTTAATCTTCTTTGAACTTAGAGAACTTACATGAATTGGCAGATTCGTCTCCTTTGCCACTTACTCCGGACTATGGTGGACCATTAGTGTGCTATGCTGATGGAGTGTTCGATTCACGCTTTAACCGTTATGTTACTGTCAGGGAAGGTAGATTTGGTTTAGTTTGTGATGTGTATGCTTTTCCTGTCTAGCATTTTACATTTACTTACATATGTTTTGTCTTGATAGATCGTCGTGAAGACAGTCTGAATCCAACAACAACTATTGTATCGATTGACCTCAATGACCAGAATATCCAAGGTACTTTTTAAAAATTGTAATTTTGTTTTCTGCATGCTAAATGTTTGTGGGTAACATAAAAATACCACTGGAGATCATGTGTTCTTGTACTTACAGGTTCTTGAAAAACTTGGACTGTTTCAAGGTCCTGAAGTCCTTTATCATTTTTATAACTTATATTTCATCATCTTCCGATGAGGAGTAATAATCATCTGTCTTTCTCTTCCCTTGTTGCAATCATATAACATACAGAACCAGAAGTAATAGTTGGTGGCAACGACTTTTATGCTTGCCCACGTTTGGACCCGAAAGAAGAAAGGATGGCATGGATTGAATGGGGACACCCTAACATGCCATGGGATAAATCAGAACTTTGGGTTGGCTATTTTTCTAAGAATGGGTGAGTAAGGTTGCCCTTTTCTTCAATTTTAGTTCTTATCCACTGTCACTGTATTTCCGGTGATTGTAATTGCATTAGATTTTAAATTTTTTGCTTACTTAATGCTTGTATTGTTTTATCTGCATGCATATGAAAGGGCTCTTTTAGGAGGCAGGAAAACTAGCCAACTTAGCTTGTGTAAGGTTTATTAAGTGTGGGTACACGTGTTCGGGTCTTCTACATGGCATAGTCACATCATATCCGAAGAACATGGTGACACATGTTAGCCTCATGAGGTGACACATAGGACCAATGACAAATCTCCATGCACCCGGAACGGGCCGAGCCATGATAAACGAGGCATCTCCTGAACTGCTCGACCACGCATTGATGTGTTCGAATTGCTTGTGAGAAGAAATTAAGTTCAATTTTTGATGGTATAATTTAGGTGTCTATAATAAGTGATTGAATCCTACTAAGCTTCTCCCCTCGTTCCTGCTCCCTTGTAACATAACTCAAGTGAAACCTGGTCATATTTGTGATATGGATTTGTATTTTAGTTATGCTTAGTAATGTGATATCTGTGCATGTTTTCTCACTCTTAGAGTATAGTGGTTCCCCTCATTTTTGTAGCACTTTAACCAAAATCATTACTTATCCTCATATGTTGAGTAATGGAATTTGTGGCTCATGTTTAAATATTAATTTGATTTGGACCTCGTCAGCATGGCATTATTTACGTCTCCAAAACTTATGATGCTCAACACCTACTTTGACTTGCTTGTTTAGCATCCTCTAGTTACTGTAGTGCAAGGAACTTGATGAACTTGCTTTAAAATTTATATCAAGTAGGCACAACATCGTATGATTCTTTTGTTTAGAAGAAGAACCTAGAGAGGAAGCTCCAGTGAAAGAAGAAAAGGAAATGCTACTCAAGGGCAAAATGCTCTTTTACAGGATACGTACCACCTTGGGGTTAGATGAGCTTTTGGAGAGCTACATTTCTTAGACTATTTATTATGGGTAAATGCTCCTATCCTCCTAGAATCCTAATCAATCTTCATAATGCTACCATGCAGAGATATCTGCAAACGCATCTGTGTTGCCGGCGGTGATCCTGCACTTGTGGAGTCTCCAACTGAGCCCAAGTGGTCATCTAAAGGTAATATTTTTCACGTGATATACTGTTGATGAACAATCCTGCATGGGAACGTGAACTGAACTTGTTATTGCTGCTTTGTGTCCTTTGAATGGTTATTTGTTATTGCGTGGTTAAATTGATTTGAAAGTCCATTGATCTATTTATTTTATCTGCATCCTGGGCTGAGCTTTCTGAAGCCCTTGACTGTGGATAATAGTTACACACCATATATTTCTGAGGGCAGTTCAGTAAAAGCCAAATTTGTTAGTGTGACAGTTTTTTAGTAGAATTTATGAAAATAGGAATTGAACAGCATTGGTAATAAGACAAATTTTTTAGTTGTTCTTGACACTTCCACTGACCATTCATTCTTCTTATCTAGGTATGGAGACAAAAGAATGGCATTTCAGTACTTAGTATTAAAAAATAAAAATAAAAAAAACCAAAGAATGGCGTTTTAGTAATTTGTGGGAAATCTGCAGCATGAGAGGAAAGGATGTGGTGGTACAATGGCATGCCATAATTTAGGAAGCAAGAAAGTAGAAATTTTAGTTTCTTCATCTTTTTATGGAAAGAAGTTACAAATAGAAATGAGATTGATGACCCTTAATTTCTGTCCTAGAATATTGACTCTCATCAAGAGAATAGTGATATGTCTGTCATAAGACAAATTTCTAACCCTTATTTTGTCCAACGGAATAGGCTCAAGCTCCTCAGATGTTTTCTTATATTTTATATATTCCCTTCTACTCCTCTGTTGGTTTCATAGTAAGTAGTTTACTACTGTTCATTTATTACGCTTTGTATTTTAGTACAAATTCTATATATGTAGCTCCTTATAAATTGACACTACAATCTCTGGAAGGCTATGAATATTTGCATCAATTGATTTGCTATGTTTGTTACTGCAGGCGAACTATTCTTCATCACTGATAGGAGGAGTGGGTTTTGGAATATTTACAAATGGGTAACTTTATAGTTTGGCATCTTAGTGTTTTTTTTTTTTTTTTTTTTTTACCGTAGTATACAAGTCTTTATACAGTTTGTACAGTATGTCTTGGTTATATATATGTAGGGACAATATTCTACTTAGTCAAATACACATAAAAACATGGTAGATTTAATATTGTTATTGGAGGTCTATATATTAACAACCTTATAGAAATTATTCTTTTGATAAGTAACACTTCTATAGGAAGCTCTCATTCATGGTCCTTTTGCCAATAAGGATTGACCTTCCAAGGTTCATGCTTGGGAAAGGGAGAAAGAAAAAGGAACATCCATGAAGGTCCTGACTTACAGGTCCCACAATTGATGCTAAATGACTGAAAACTACTCTTAGCTGAGTTTGGATGAATCCAGTCTCTAATATATTTTCATTTGGTAAAGCCAAAAATTTTCAATCAGCGTAATTTCGAAATTAGGAGTATCTAAGAAATCTTTTCTTTATTGAATTCGAGGTTCTAACTTGTTAGGTTTGTGGGGTTGCTTTAAAAATGCTTATAGAAGCAACTGCTCATGGTTTTGCATTCTAATAAAAATCAGAGAAAGCAGTTTTACTTGCACAGCTGACAGCACCCATATGGTTTGGTCAAACATCTTTCATTTTTCCTTTTCTCTATTATGAGTTCATGTGGAATTGATTATATCATCATCTTATTCTTTGGCCACAGATTGAATCTGATAACACGGTGTTGCCAGTTTTTTCATTGGATGCTGAGTTTTCAAGACCATTATGGGCTTTTGGCATAAAATCGTATCAATTACTTCAGAGTAATGAGGGAAAAAACTTAATTGCTTGCACTTACAGGTGATCTGAGAGATATTGCCCTCACATTCTTTCTTATACATATATATGTACATATATTATTGTTCAATGGGAATTTAGCAGTGTTTTTATCTGTGACTTACTAATTTGTTAAACTTTGTGGGGATGGCACTTCAGGCAGAATGGAAAGTCTTCTTTTGGAATTCTGGATGATGTTCATAGCACATTGTCTCTGTTTGATATTCCTTTCACAGACATAAACAATATTGTATGGTCATGAAACTTTATCGTTTCTGACTTCTCCAATTTAAAATTTCTCTAGTTGGTAACATATGATGGATTATTTGAATATATGCTTATGGCAGACTTCTGGGCTTCATTGCCTATACATTGAGGGAGCATCAGCAGTTCATCCTTTGTCAATAGCTAAGGTGGTGCCCTCCGCATAATTTGATGTACCATAAAATTCTTTGAAATGTGAAGAGTTTAACAGTTATCCGTTTTTCCTGAATCTCCACACTCCTTGTGTTATCAGGTGACGTTAGACGATGACAAATCAAAAGTAATTGATTTCAAAATTATTTGGTCATCCTCACCTGATAGCTTAAAGTACAAATCACACTTCAGCTTGCCAGAATTAATTGAGTTTCCAACTGAAGTTCCTAATCAAAATGCCTATGCATACTTTTATCCACCAACCAACCCCAATTATCAAGCTGGTAGGGAGGAGAAACCTCCACTGTTGTTGAGGAGCCATGGTATGTTTTGTTTATTTTCTTATTTTAAGATGCAAATTTTATATGTATTCATTCAGTTCAATGCTTCTCATAAATGAATAAATATAGCTGCTGTTTTCAATGGTTATAAGTGCCCTGTGCCTTTTATCCTATCAAGGAGTTTATTCATGTGGGTATAGGTTTTATATAGTACAGGAGTGGTACTATTTTATAATATTGAGCTTAAAATGAGTATTTCATATACAAAAGATAATCATTTGAGTGTTATCTATCAAACTGCTATTAAAGAATGTGTTATTTTTTTAGCGTCCTCTAATATTTAACCTTTTTATTTCCACAAGCTTTATGGAATATCCTTGATAGAGTAAAGCATCATGTGCTTCTGATTTGTGTTCATTCAACTCATAAATTGTGATGGACGCTTTCTGTTAAGACATTTTAAGAATAAGGCCTGGTTTGGCATACCAGGAAAAATCCAAAAAGTCAAAAAGTTACTAAAAAAGTTAAAAAGTTGTCACTATTCACAAATTAAAAATATTAAAAAATTAATTTCTACAATATTTTAATACAAACAAGGAGTGACAGCGTTGGTACTGATTGATGGTGCAGTACTTAATGGCCTGTTCAAATGAACCAAAAAAAAAAAAATAGATGTATATATTTATTAAGTTGGAGGGTAATGTTGGGCCCATGAGGGGCCCACCACGGGTTTGTTTTTTACAATCCAAACCATTCAATGTGTAGAACTCATCGAGTACTATATGCTTGTAAAAAATCACGCTGATCGGATATGAATAGCTATGTGATCGGATCAGATTTTTTTTCAGTCGTTTATTTTTCACCATCCATTAATTTCATACAAAACTATTTTGATCACATAACTATCGATATCCGATTAAAGTGATTTTTCATAGGCATATAGTACTCAACGAGTTCTACACATTCAACGGTTCGGATTATCGAAACGGGACCCTTGGTAGGCCCCACGGCCAAACAGTACCCGTGATGCCTCATGCACCATTTCAACCCAGCCGTGCTCCTCTTTGCCACCTGTCACTGATGATTCTGCCATGTAGGAGTAAAAATGTAATTTTGTCATTTTATACAATATTTTAATACACATTTTTTCATAAAAAGACAAAAAGTTATCCCAAACAACTATATTTTTTTCCTCAACTTTTTAGTCCAAAAAGTCAAAAAGTGCACTTATTTAGGACACCCCAAACAACCTGTGCTTCTGATTTATGGTCCTTTTAACTCTTATTTTTGCCTTATACATTGCCTTTTAAAGGATGAATTTACAAGCAAACAGAAAATGTTTTGTAATTTCTTTTCCTCTGCCATGACGAACTGGTATACTAAAAAAACTGTGATAAAAGCTTTAGCAAATATCTATGGAGTAGATGGTCCAATATAATGCTAGCTTTACTCCATCTCACAAGTCACAATTGATGTCCCACTGCTATCTTATCTATGTATTTCCTCTTTGAATGAAGACTGACTCTTTCACGTTTGTGCATGTGTCTTCTCCTTATGAATGTGTTCTATTAAGGGGAAAGATCTTGAGTGCTTGCGACAAAATTGCATGCCAAATATATTGCACTCGTGTCTTCTTCTATAATCTTCTTTTCTGCCATTTGGCTGGGGGAGTGTGGTAGTGTGGGAAAGTTTTGAATGGTTTTACAGTTGTTACCTATCCGATCTCCTGTATGTTTTCCTTGATTTTCCACTGCTTGTGCAATTAGTCGGTCTTGGCATGTTATCGTGGATACATTTTATGTCTGAATGGACTTCTTCCTCATTGTCACAGCTTGAGTTCAGTTGTATGTTATTGTTAGAAATTCTGGCATGGCCACTGATGAGGTGCTGCAAAAAGTGTGTTGGTGGTCAAATATTTTTCAAATGAGATTTTAATTTTTTTGTAAATACATTCAGAAAAACAAGGCAGTGAAGAACTTAAAGTAGATAAACTCCATGATGCATTTCAAATAGGCTACAGTTGAGAAGGTGGACATGCATGGTTGCTTTCTTTTATTGGAAATAAGGCAGTCCTTTTAATGGAAAATAAGTTTCTTTTCTACATTGAATTTGTGATAGCATGGTGCATGAAATTTTGCAGGAGGGCCCACTGGTGAGACCCGTGGAGTCCTAAATCTTACTTACCAGTATTGGACTAGTCGAGGTTGGGCAGTTGTGGATGTCAATTATGGTGGAAGCACTGGTATGTCCTTGACTTTGGCCATTCTTTACATATGAATTTGATATATGTAGTATACTAGTATCTGATTATTGCCTATGTAGTGTTGATCAAGGTTCTGAAAAGCGGTTGCGGTCGCCATAACGGTGGTGGTGACACGGTTGCGGTTGCGGGGTGTAAAGGCCGTAGTGTAACGGTTGCGGTAACTAGAACCGTGAATTTTTTTTTTTTTTGCACAATTTGAAAAAAAACTTACCAATAAGTATATTTTTTTTCCATGATCATATTTATTGGGTTAAAAATAAATATTGATCAATTTTTGTAAATTTTTAAGTATGATCCAATATATTTCATATTTTTAAATCACTATAAACTGAGTTTTTTACATTTTATTTTAATAATTAATGACTTTATATTATACAAAAAATCAATCACTAACTATTATATATAAGATAAACAATGACAAAAGTAAGAGAATAAATAAGAGCCTAAATATATATATATATACACATTTTTTAACCAAGCCAAATAGATAATGATCACACATATTATTATTATTATTATTTTCAAACAATATATAGATAAACACACACAAACAAAATAGTTTAGTGATAGCAGCTGAATAGAATAGCATCTGAATAGAATAGCATAAGTCTTACAGTTTCAACAAATCAATAACATGTTCTTCATATTCCCTCTTCTCTCTCTCTATCTCTTGTTCCTCCATTTTCTCTCTTTATCTTCCCTCTTCTCTCTATCCCTCTTCCCCTATTTTCAGCTTTTTTTTGTGTTTTTTTTCGAAAGAAATAGTTTGGAACCGTTATGTAACGGTGCGTAACAAGCCGTTACGGCTGTTACGGCGCCGTTACGACCGCTACGGCAGCCGCTGCAGCCGACACACCTATGAATCTCAATCACATTGCAAAAGCGGCTGTAATGGGTAGCGGTAACTGCCAAAACCGTTACGTAATGGCTGCGGCCGCTTTTTAAAACCTTGGTGTTGATACACCCATAGTAGTTCATTGATGCCTAGGTTCTGCATGATCACAAATTATTTTTTGTAAGATGTTCGACTAACTTCTTTAATCCACATTTGAGCCTCTCATTTCTTCTGCTAAGGATGATTTGGATTCAATTTTGAAGGTTATGGTAGAGAATATCGGGAAAGGCTTTTGGGACGCTGGGGAATAGTTGATGTTAATGACTGTTGCAGTTGTGCTAAATTTTTGGTAATCATATTTTAAATTCTCCAGTCCCCACTCTAGTGGAAGCCTTGTGCCTTTTATACTAAATTCACAAATCCTCCAGGTTTTTGATGGATGGTTCTGTAAAGCATTCTTCTGTTTGCAGTAATATTGTTTAGTTCTCCAGGTGGATAGTGGAAAGGTAGATGGAGAAAGATTGTGTATAGCTGGGGGCTCTGCTGGTGGATACACGACATTAGCTGCTCTTGCTTTCAGAGAAACGTTTAAGGCTGGTGCTTCCTTATATGGTGTGAGTGTGCTTAAATCCATCATCATATTAAATCTTATCTAATTTTGTAGTATTGCTTTCACTTGTTGATCAATTGGTTCATGTTCTTGTTGGCTTTTAATGATCAATTACATTTTCATCATATCTCTTGCAAGCAGTACATTATATTTTATTATTTTTTGTGGGGGTGAGGTAGATAATAACTCAATTATTAGTTGGAGAAAATGTAGAGATGAAAATAAAATGGCTGCAAATTTCTTCATGCAATGCATGTATGCTGATAAGTTATGGAACATTTGTAAATCGGATGTTTCTTGAAAAGGAAAATGATTGGTGCCCATGAGATACACTATACCCCCTTCAATGAATATACAGAGATGATGATGAAGTGTTCTATGCATAATGATGGTCCCTGTAAATGAAGTATGTTGCTTTTGGATAGAAGGAGAATTTCGTAATCTCGTTTAAAATAAAAATGGCCATCACCTGGTGTTGGTTGCCATAATGTGGGGTGCTGAGATCGTATTTCGCATCGTCCTGATAGTATGTCCTCTTTTATATGCAATGGGGGATTCCAATCACCTTTACTTAACCTAGAATCAAAGCATTTGTACTAATTAGAACCAAATTTGTATTGACACCCCTGCACAAAAGCTTCTTGATTAAGAATTCAAAAATCCATATTTTATACAAATTGCCATCAAACTGATGGTTGAACTTCTTAAAGGTTCGACTACAGTTAATTCTTCTTTAAATGATTGTGGTTTATGCTGTATCTAAAGCTATGATACTAAAATACTTGTGCAGCATGGGGATCTGTTGATGATTGATTTCAAACTTTCTCTTGTTATTATTTATTATTATTAGTTGAATCTTCTATGATTATCAATACATCACTTTTAAACTTCTCCTTATCTTCCCTGTCTGGTAAAATGTCCTTTGACTGTAAGCTGTTTTACAGCATGACTTTGACAACTTCACCTGGCTGACCTTTAGTTAATAATTCAGTTAACTGAACCGTTAATTCATCATGGCTGTGCACCAACTTCTAACATTAAGCAGCAAATACAATCACGTCCAGAGGATTTTATGAGGCATTTATGGCCATCATTTTATTTCAGTGCGACATTTGCACAGCCTAGACTTGTATTTTATTGGAAAATGGGGAGTTGGCATAGGCTTCTAATTGTAGCACTAGGCAGTTTGGAGGTATTGCATTGACATCAAGAAGAAACTTAGGCTTTAACTGTTTTAACTTTCACGAAATATTTTTACTCAAGGGACTAGGTTAGACACATTGGGGTTCAGATGCATGGTCTGCCCCTTCTTGTTATCATCTACGCTTTAGCAAAAATTGGATAAGCACTTCCACGAGCAAATATTTTTGTGGTACCTGAAGACATTTTATGTCACTTTTATTGAGGTACCGAACTTGGTGTTTTTATCTTTGCGGTGAGAATTGAGTTTTATTCCCTATGAAGTGGTATATTAACGTTTTTCAATCTTATTGCCAATGAACAGATAGCTGACTTGAAATTGATGAGAGCAGAAACGCACAAATTGGAGTCTCATTATATTGATAATCTTGTTGGTAATGATTAGATCAATTTTGTGGGCATTTTACTTGTTTGATAATCCACCTGTTTTTACATTGAGGCAGTGTGTTGACTCATTGCAGGAAGTGATGATAATTACTTTCAGAGGTCACCCATCAATTTTGTTGATAAGTTTTCTTGCCCTGTACTCCTACTCCAAGGATTGGAAGATAAGGTATTCTCAGCATTGTTTTTCAATTCTCTCTATTTTGTTGACTGTAATAAACCAAATTTAGGACTATGGATTAAGGAAATCGATTGATGAAATCACATGATTACTGCAACCCTTGCTGGGTTTTCCATTTTCTTATAGGTTAGCATTGGTTGATGTGTGTAAAAAACTTTCGTTTGTAAGCTTTATGATGTATTGTGAACTCTGATTTTAATAACATATTATTACTGGTGAAAATCTTTTCCAAATGTTGCAGGTTGTACCCCCTGATCAAGCACGTAAAATTTACCATGCATTGAAGGAAAAGGGTTTGCCTGTTGCTCTTATTGAATTTGAAGGAGAACAGCATGGTTTCCGCAAGGTATATGACATTCTACAATTTTAATTACAAAAATATTTGCCTACCTGATAAATAATGGCATTAATCGGGTTATATATTCCACAGGCTGAAACCATTAAGATCGCACTGGAGCAGCAAATGATGTTCTTTGCACGTTTAGTGGGACACTTAAAGGTCGCAGATGAGATTACTCCAATCAAAGTCGATAACTTTGATTGAGGTTTTGGTATTTTCTTAGACATTTAAATCCGACTATTGAGAGTTTGGAAAATGATGATAATATTATGCCCGGCCTGTGTTCAGGTTATGTGTCACTTTATCATAATACAATTTGCTTTTGCCATTGTATGGGAGTGTAGTATTATTGTTCATCACATTGATATCCCTTTTGTCTTGTAAGTGAATGCACATTGGCTTTGATTAACAAATCAGAGTTGATAAATATTACGTTAATTGTAACTTGAGCATAAGATAAAGAGTGGGTACATTTTGACCCTTGCTAATAAGTCTTGCGCTGTTTTAGTCAGCAGTATGAGGTGTGGGTACCTGATTTAGGTTTTTTCATGATGAAGTGCTCAGCTCATTTAGAAGTTGGCCATGAATTTTCTACATGGACGACTCTAATTCTAATGGCACAACCTTAAATAAAAACTAAATATAATATTTTTCAATTATTTGATCTTTATCTTTAACGATCTTTTTGGCTAGTCAATGGTTCAACAAACGTGACGAATGTCGTGACACAGCCCCATTGACATTAAATAAAGCTACATGATATATATATATTTATATTTATGGTCATAAAATATTTTGGGTCTGGTAATGCATGCACATTGGTTAAGTCTGCATTCCTTCCAGGCTTTTTTTTTTTTTCCCTTTTTTTTTTTTTGTGCTTTTCGAATAATTAAACAAAAATGATGCTAGTCTCTAAAACTCTTGTAATACTTATTTAAAAAATAAAAAAAAATCTTACAATTACAGAATACCAATTACTTGTATCTGAATTTCGGTTGGAGTAATGCTAGTGATCATGAAAAAAGAGTCATGAAGATGTACTCACACAGCAATTGTGGTTGTAAAAATCAATGAAAGCATATAATTGCAAAAACTTTTCATTGATTTCCACTACTCCAATACATAAACCTTAAAATTTGGTATATCAACTGAATGAGTAAACTTCACACATCTAGGAACAAAACTATATATCTTGACACACACAAAAATAAATTGAATCTCAAATATGGTATGATATGATTCATTTACGAGAAAATCCGAAACCGTTGGCAAGTGCATGGACAGTCGGATTGAACGCCAGACGCCCCAGAATACCTTGCTTGTAAGGCAAGAATGTCTTCTTCTTCAAATCCTCTGAAACTGCTCTGTTGGCCTTGTAATGCAACTCATGAGCTGAAACTGTCCCCTTTCTTCTGGTAGTGGATCCTTCCATGGATCTGAAGCTCGAAGAGTTGTTGGCATCTTCATGTTTCTTGAACAGAGCCGCGTATTTCCTGAGTGGATCTCTGTCCGATGCTCGCCCCTCTGATGCGCTCCTGAACAAGAAAAAGTCCTTCAATCTCCATTTCCTGTGACTTCCTTTGGAAGACGAGAAAGACAGGGTGGAAGAAGAGGTATTTGAAGATTGTTTTGTGTTTTGTTGCAGCTGTTGCTGTTGTTGTTGTTGTTCTTGTTCTTCCCACGGGTACTTCGAAACCCGGTAGGGAGATAGCGATCTTGTTCGTCCGTGGCTTGTACTCTGTGACTCTGAGGAAACAACCCTTTCTCTTCCTCTCTCATGCCCTGTTCTGTTATGGCTGCTATTGGTGTTTCCGATTGCAGATTCAAATGGGTTATATTCTTTCTTCTTCCTGGGTGAGAAAGCGCCACGGATACGTGAGATTGGTGATCTTGGCGACATAGATGAGCTCTTCCAAGGTTGAGTTGGAAGCGTTAATGGCCGAATTTTGCCACCATGGAAGAGTTCTTCAGCTGGGACAATCATCTTCTCCATTTCCTCACTGACATCAAATGCAAAATTGTCTTCTGATGGTTTGATTGATTTAGGCGTACCAGGTTTTTCTTCCCAATCAAAATCAGTGCTCTGTACACAGAAGTCATCGAAGTCACGGTAAAACTGAGAGAGGCGTGTTGGGGAGGTGGGAGCGCTGAAGAAGCAATCACCGAAGCGTTTTGGAGTCGATGGAGCGGTCAGCAAGCACGGTGAAGATCTACCGCTGTTGAAGTCGAAATCTGTAATTGGTATCAACACCTCCATCTCCATGTAGTTTACAGGTTGAAGAGTCCTTTGAGTGTATGTAGAGAATATAAAGAGAAGGGAAGGGGAGAGAGAGAGAGAGAGAGAGGAAGGAGGAGAGAAGGATCAAAGAGGGAGCCAAATATGAATGAGGCGCGGTGAGCAAGCAAGTCTTGAAAGGAAGCCGCCTCTTATTACTTTCTGATTTAGCCACCTACCACTCCTACGTAGAGATGGGCCGAGGGAGTGAAGCTTGTTAATTTAGGATTAGTTTGTGATGAGTTTTTTGACTTTTAATTTTTTAGTTGTTTTATTTGGAATAATTTATAAAAGTTAAAAAATAAAAAAGTTATTAAAAAAAGTTAAAAAATTTATACTATTTGAGAGAAGTTTCTGGGGAAAGCTTAGAGGGTAAAATTATTATTTTACTTTTTGAATTCAATTATCCAAAATTTAAAAAGTTAACAAGAGTAGAATGATCATTTTGATTTTACTATAATATTTTATTACACATCTTTTCATAAAAAATCAAAAAATTATTCTAAACATATATCTTTTTTTTCTTTATTTTTTAGCTAAAAAATCAAAAAATACACTTTTATAGCACATTAAGGGTTGTTTGGGATGATCTAAATAAGTGCATTTTTGACTTTTTATGAAATATAGGTTGGGTTTGGGTTGGGTTTGGGTTTGAAGTGATGCGTTAGAGAGGCGATGTGACTTAAATAAGATGATGTGACTTAAATAGGATAGTGACTTTTTGACTTTTTGTCTTTTCAAAACATGCCAAACTTGGAGCTAAAAAATTTTGTTTGCGATAGGTTTTTTTGACTTTTTAAAACTTTTGTAAGGAAAAAAATGAAATAATTATGGTTTGGATGTGACATTTTGTCTTATTGAGTTAAAAAATTTATTTTGTCTTATTGAGTTAAAAAATTTATTTTGACTTTTTAAAACTTTTGTAAGGAAAAAAAATGAAATAATTATGGTTTGGATGTGACATTTTGTCTTATTGAGTTAAAAAATTTATTTTGTCTTATTGAGTTAAAAAATTTATTTTGTCTTTTTGTAACTATTTTAGTCAAAATTTCATTTTGGCTTATGCCAAATGAAGGCTTAGCTTTCACTGGGCTAAAAGTACAAAAGACAAAATAGATCAAATAGGCTAATAAAACAAAATATCATATTTAAATCATAATCATTTCATATATTTTTACAAAAATTTTAAAAAATCAAACCAAATAAACTTTTAATCTTAAACTAAAAAAAGTATTAACTCAAAAAAAACTAACCAAAAAAAAAAAAAAGTTAATGCCAAACCACAACTTAGTTGGTTTGATGGAAAATTCTTGCGCGCACAAAATTTGATTATAGAGTTAAATATGACTTTTTTTTGCCCAACTCCACTAAAATTCAATTTGAATTTTAAATTTCTCTATAGGTGACCACTTAATTAAAAATTATGTGATTCAATTTTTAAACTCAACTTAAGTTGTTTGGATTGCGCTTACCTAAATTTACAATTCTGGCAGGGATTGAAAGTTATATGATTAAATTTGTGATAGATTAAAAAATAATAAATAAATTATGATAAAATTGTGAAACTTAAATTATAAATTTTAATCTTTTTTATTTTCATAATTTACATATAAAAATTTAACTATTTATATTATTTTATATAAAAATATATTATTAATTTTTTCACATGTCGTGCATAACATGGATCAGCACTGATATATTATAAAGGAAATATGACATGAGAGAGAATAGGAGTAAAGATAGCGAGACCTCAAACGTGGGAACCAAAACTCATCGTAGGAAATAAAAAAAAAAAGTGATCAAATTTCAACGACAAAATCTCTTTTCTAATCAAAGCTATAAACAATTAGATGAATAGGATGGATGTATTACAACATATAACACTCCAATAAAAATATTGTTACATTAAGGTTTCGTTTGGAAACTTTTTTTTTTAGTTAAAAAGTTATTAAATTAGTTAAAAAGTCAATAACTCATATTAAAAAGTCAAAAATTATCTTTTTTTTTTACTTTTTGTACATCTTTTCATAAAAAGTCAAAAAGTCATCCCAAACATACTAGTTTTTTTTAGCTCATATTTTAGCAAAAAAGTTACTAAATTAACCTGTTCCCAAACGAGGCCTAAATAATTTTTTTGGAGATGTTTGAAGAAAGTATATTAAGAAATTTTTTTGTGTATTACACTAAACAGTTTTTTTGAAGTGTTATATTGGAGTGTTATGTTTGGAAATAATATACTAAGGATTTTTTTTTGAATGTTTCATTGAAGTGTTATATTTGAATGTCACAATTTGAAATTATACATATGTCCAAAGTTTACTAACGCTGTGTTTGGTTTGGGAATTTGGGGAGGGATTTGGAAAGGAAAATGAAAAATGTGTGTGAAATTAGGTGAAATATAGATATGTTTTATTTACATTTCACCTACCTTTTCCCTTTCCCTTTCCCTTTCCAAATCCTTCTTCAAATCCCTCAACCAAACACAACATAAGGAGTTTCCTTTTGACATGTTTGAAGAGTCACATCCTTTTGAAATGTTTGAAAAATCCTATATTTTAAGTTATTCTTATACTTCTTTTGAAATATTTTTCAAATAAAAAAGATTCTCGTACAAAAATTTATCTCAAATTTAATTATCATAAATTGTGTATCTTATCTTTCTAACATAAAAGAAAAAAAGAAGAAGGAAATATAGTAAATTTAATTTTCAAATAATATATTAAATCTACATTTCTAAAATTAATGGTATTAATTGATCTATAAAAAAATTCTTGGGACTAAATAAACCACCATTCCTCAAAATGTGATTTATAGATAAAATTTCCAAAAATAAACCATCTATTTTAATTATTTTGAAAGTAAATATGATTAAATCATATAATTTTACTTATGGGATCAAATTTATAATGAAAAATAAAAAATGACATCACTTCAAACCCAACCCAACCCATTTTTCAACTTTTTTCATTCCAACATGATGTTTGGATACCACACTCAAATCACATTTCCACGACATTTACAAAAGTAATTTTGTGCTTGTTAAATTTTTGTAATGCATTATATCAAGAAGACAACTTTTTTGTCCCTCCGCTCCCATTATAAGACCTTTCTATCACATTACTTCAAACCCAACTCATATTTCATAAAAAGTCAAAAAGTGCACTTATTTAGAACATTCCAAACAACCCGTAAGTCAGATCATCTTATTTAAGTCACATCACTTTTCTACCACATTACTTCAAACTTAACCCATATTTCACAAAAAGTCAAAAAGTAAACTAATTTAAATCATCCCAAACCAACCCTAGATGACTAGGATGGATGTATTACAATATATTAATTTGGGTATTAAATTTTCTAGAAGCCATCCAAACGATGCTACTACCAACTTTTGTATTCCTTCCCCCTTAAAACGAAGTCGTTTTAGATGTTTAGCAAGGCAACAGCATCATGGATAAGTGTATGTCCCATTTTCAAGTATTGGTTTGGCTGATGAATTGTCTAGGGATAATGTTAGGCCAACCATCATTTCAATGAAATATCTTAATTACGAAAATTGTATTACCTTTTATTTCTACATCAAACATGTGTTCAATACTTGAAAAATTCATGTGGACTTTTATTAATAACTTCTAGAATTAGTAAACTCTTTGAAAGTGGCATGATATAGTTATGAGCTTTGAAAAAAGCAAAAACATTCACTTTTATGTATTGAAAAAATTGTACCTCGAAAATTATCAAAAGATTGAAATTTATTTCGATCCACACATCAATATCCCGAATAACCTTCCAAACAAATATTTTGGTTTTCTAACTTTCATGAAAAAAAATATATATATTAAAAGATCTTAAAAATTTTATTAATACATTGACAAATTTTGTTAGACTCAAACCAAGTAATGATGATTCAATCAAAATTAGTGAAATTTGTTTACACTCTCTATGTGAATTTAAACTATTAAGATTGTTAGTAAAAGTGTTTTAGTTTCATTGAAGCTTAAAATTACTTTGTTTACACTCTATAATGTGTAATAATAGTATAATGAATTTTATTTAAAGGAGAGGATCCTTTATGTTTTAACCAATAAATAAATGTATTTATTCCGTAATTCCAAAGATCATGTCACATTCTAAACCAATAACATAATAAATTATTTTACGAATGAAACATAGATGCCTTTTGAGAAGCTGGGTATTTTGAGAAGTTAGTAAAAAGTTAGTTTTTAACTTTTTATCAAGTTTTTTGATTTTTTTAAAAAGTGATTTGAAAAGTTAGTAAAAAATTATTTTTTTTATTTTTTGAATTAATATTTATTTATAGTGTTACATCACAATAGAATAACTAAAATACCCCACCTAACTTTAAAAATTTACTATTTGACTTTTTTTGGGCTCATTTAGCTCCTTGTTGGAACAAGAAGGATAGTCATGTAATTCCACCCTTGCCGTTTTGCAAACTTCCCAAACAAAAATGCCTAAAACCCCCCGTGGGGTCACTGAGGGTCATGTACGAAGGCTTCTCATTGGTAAATTTTTTTTTTTTTTTTTTTTGTGATTTGAACGAATGACACGCTGCCACCTCAGTGGGGATCCACCCCCAGTGGGGGTCTATAGCAAAGTCCCTTCCCAAATACTCATCCAGCTTTTTGGCTGCGTTTTTGCCTTAACTGAGGCTGCGTTTTGCAAAACGCAGCTTCTTGCCAAGTTCCCAAAAGGCCACAATCAGCTTCTAATTTTTTATCTATTTTGAGTCACACTAAGTTAAAAAAATCAAAAAATTAATTTTTTACCAACTTCTCAAAACAATATATACTACTATCTCTCCTTTGTGTATAAATCTGAAACCAGGTTTGGCGCAGCCTTCTCGAAATTGGAAGCTAGTGTCCCCCTAAAATCTACTACTAGATGTGTACGTGGCAGATTAGGCAAACCAACCATAAATTAGTTGTTAACACTTGTTATACCTAAATAAATAATATAAGAATTGATGCAACTCAAAATGAAAAATGTTGTTCACTTAAATAAAAAAATTCAGAAATTAAATGTGTAATGAAGACTTAAATTTTATGTGATGTTAGTCTATACATTTGCTTTCTAACAATTTTCTAAATACTTTTTTTTTTCCTTTCTAAATATGTACCTTTGTAGAACTCAAAATACATAAATCTTATATTATTTCATCTTGACCTAATGTTACTATCAATTTTGTTTGTTTATTTATTTATTACTTTGGAATTTCTTGTTTACTAACTTTTTATCAAGATAATAATTGTTAGAGTGAGAAACTCGGCTCTGTTTGGAATGATTTCCAGACTATATTTCTACCTTCACATTCCAACATGATGTTTGGATACCACACTCAAATCACATTTCCACAACATTTACAAAACTCTGCACAAAACTCTATCTGAGGCGCGATTTTCAAATTTTTTTTTTTTTAAATTTGGCCTAACCGGTCGTCCCACTAAACGTCCCACTGGTCGTCCGGCTGGTTGACTGGAACGGCGCAAATTTTTTTTTTTTTTAACAATTGACATATGTTAATTTTTATATATTTGAAAAAAAATATTTTCTGAATTTTTAAATTTTTTTTTGGAAAATGATTCATGCCTCGACAAAGTGCGGCGCGATTGCCTCGACGCGTGCAATTCACTCTCTATTCTCGTTCCTCACTTGCACTTTACTTACTGACCCAAACCCGTTCAAACCCCAAAACTCACAAAAACTCTCAGCCTCTCTCTCTCATCCTCTAGGTCTCCTCTCTACTGAAACACCAAAAGTGATTCAGTTCAGCAAGCAGACCAAAGTGATTCGGTCCAGCGGTGGAGGGCTTCCGGCCACATTGCTTTGTTTACCCAACCCAAGCCCTAGATCCCCAAATCTCCTCCATTGACAACCGACAAAAGGTCAGTTTTTATTTATTTATTTTTTCTCCATTTAACCCCCATGATGAAAAGCTGTGTGATTTTTCAAAAGTTCTTGTTTGTTGTTCTTGTTTTTCTGGAGTGCCAACCTCGTGTGCCACAGATTTTTGCTTTTATTTTTGTATTTTTTTTTTAATTTTATAAATCCTTTCCATTTAATCCCCATAATGAAAAGCTGTGTGATATTTCAAAAGTTCTTGTTTGTTGTTGTTGTTTGTTGTTCTTGTTTTTCTGGAGTGCCAACTGTCGAGTGCCAAAAGAATTGAAAGTAGGTGTGATTCTCTCCAGACTTAGATTTTGCATTGCAAGTTTATGATAAAATGCCTCAATGAAATGCTTTGTTGCTTCCATGGGCCATTTTATATGAAGAATCGTCGCCTTGCCATGAATACTTAATATGTAAGTCTCTAACATAAAATAAAAAAAGAAGCAGCAACAGCTAATCTCCATTGAGTATAATTTTTCCAATATGTATCAAATGGAACTCTGTAACACCAAAGCCTTGCTAAATAGATGGAGTAGTTAATATTGAAGGTTTAATAGTATATGTTGGCAAATGTATAATAGGTGAGTGCTTTCCTTACCTCTCTTTAGACTTTCTCCTATAACAATACAATCACACCTATTTCCTTATTACTCTACTTATATCCTCTATATCTTTAAGAGACAGATAAATTAGGATACAATTCTAGGTGTAGATATAACACCATAACAGTGCCAATATGTTGTGCAAAATTAAGATAGATGATTGCTTCCTTCCTGCCTACTGTTCTTTCAAGTAAAATACATGATTGCATTGAGACTTATTTAACAATACCATCCTTATTGAGAATTATGTTCTTGATTTGCAGTGCAGCCCCCAATTTGCATTGGGAGGACTTTGATTGGAAAAGTAAATTGGATTTTGCAGTAGCTTCAAAATTATGTGCAACCATATTATGTGCAGTAACTTAAGCATATTTGGTTTAACCATATTATGTATACTTAAGTATATTTGGTTTAACCATATCATGTGCAGTAACCATATTATGTGCAATAACTTAAGTATATTGCTTTAACCATATTATTTGCAACCATATTATGTGCAGTAACTTAATTATATTTAACGCCACATCTCAAGCTAATAACCAGATTGGTTTCAGTAAATTCAAAATTATGTGCAACCATAAATTATGCTTTGTGCTTCCATGGGCCATTTGACATTATTAATGGAGACTTTTTTTTTTTTTTTTGGTGCTGAATAATGTACTAATTCCATGGGCTATTTGACATTATTAATGGAGACATTTTTTTTTTAATTTTTTTTGCTAAATAATGTACTAATTATGTGATAAAATGCCACTATTAGGAGTAACATGTCAATGGCTTACACCTCCACTAGTTCAACCATCGATGGTCGCCTTTTCGAAAATCGAGGTTGCAAATGTGGCAAAAAAGTGGCCGTTAAGATATCAGACTCACAAAAAAATCCAAGGAGGCTTTACTTCAAGTGTGCAGATGGCAGGTGCAATTACTTTGCATGGTGGGCACCTACTAGCCAACATGGCAATGCAACAAATATCCAATGGAGGCCTAATTCTATTCATAGGAATAATAAAGATGAGGGGAGAAGAATGATTCTGAAAGAAACAATGTTGTTAATATGTTTAATGTTAAAATGAATGTTGTAAACTTAGATGTTATTGTGCTAGTTCAGCTTTAAAATGAATGAATGTTTTAGGTTTTCCTTCTTGTTGACCAGTCCTTTTCTTGTGAATAAATGAATGAATGTTTTTGTATAGTAAATGAACAGGGTGTTGAATGAATGTTAGCAATTGAACAACCATTATGTGCATGAATTTGTAAATGTTTTTGTTGGTGGAAAAAAAATGTATGCTTCCAGGAATAGTGGAGTTTGCTGGAATAAAAAGTTTTATGCTGTAAACTGTATGCTTCTAGGAAAATAGTATTGGACTCTCAAGATCACTCATACAATTTGAAAATAATATTGGACTCTCAAGATCACTCTCAAAATAGTTTTGTGCTGGTTTGTTCATTCAAGATCAGTCATACAATTTGAACAAACTAATTCAAGATCACTCATTCATGAACAAACGAGTTTAAAGCATTACACAATTTGAACCAAAACTAACTCTCAACATTCACCTATTTCTTGACAAACAACTGCAACCAAAATTTAATGAAGCCAAAACCCATTCAGCATTTGGAACATTCAGCATCAGCATTTGGAACATTCAGCATTAGTCATACAATCTGAACAAACTAATTCAAGATCACTCATTCATAATCATGAACAAACCAATTTAAAGCATTACATTACAATTTGAACCAAAATTGAATGAAGCCAAAACCCATTCCAATAATAAGTCACCTTCCAACCATTCGAATAATAAGTCACCTTCCAACCATTAACATTTCTACATAATCAAACCGAAGTATCCAAAGCTCACAAAACAAAGTCATAAAATTACTACTGCAAAACTAAAAATAAAATGGGGCATTTGGATCCAAGGTGCTTCGCATATTTTGCATAAAATGCATACACTTGTTGCTTTGAGGTAAAACACATCCCTTGCTTAGATTCTTCAACTTCACCACTCTGCGGTTCTTGAACTTCCTCACTCGGATTGTTTGACCCTTCCATCATTTTGTTGCTCTTTCAAGATTATAGGTTCAAATTCATAAATATAGGGCTTAGTTAGTGCTAAAAAGGAGCAATAATAATAATAATTGTAAATGAATAAACTCAATTTACATAAAATGTGAGGTGAAACCTTCATTATATCCCTATCTGATTGACACTTGCATTTATATATGTAAGAGTATGTTTCCTAAAGATACAAGCCTTTATGCTTTTAGGCTACTGTTGCGGAACATAGAATCTTTAACGAGCTAATGTCCAGATCTATGCATTCACTAGTAGGTGTATCAATTTTGGGAGATCATTCTGTGTTTAATATACAGGAAAATAGAACAATAGTGTCAAATTCAAAATAGCTCACCTGTTTGGCAAGATTGCAAGCACGGTCAGGAGATTTCAAAATCTCATAGTAAAATACAAAAAAGTTAAGAGCAAGTCCAAGCCGGATTGGATGTGTTGGAGCAAGTTCTGCACTTGCAATATCCTGAAGAAAAAACAATCACGGTTGTTATAATGTTCAAAAACAATATATGTACAAACCAAAAAAGAAACCAAGAAGAAACCAACAATTGATCAGCATTATCCCACAATTACTGCAGATTGAAGCAAACTGCCCCTATTTACAAGTCCTATTCAATGCTAGGACTGTACTTTTTTTTATCATCTTCTTTTACAATTTTTTCCACTTTAAAAATTCACATCATATACACAAGCCTAAGACAAATAATTATCATAACTCATTTCTAACCCAAACTTAACAGGAAACTAAGGCCAAAACAAAACAAAAAAATGTTAAAAAAAGAAATTAATCAAACCAAAAATTGGACATGGCAAGATTGCAAGCACGGTCAGGAGAATTCAAAATCTCATAGTAAAATACAAAAAAGTTAAGAGCAAGTCCAAGCCGGATTGGATGTGTTGGAGCAAGTTCTGCACTTGTAATATCCTGAAGAAAAAACAATCACGGCTATTATAATGTTCAAAAACAATATATGTATAAACCAAAAAAGAAACCAAGAAGAAACCAACAATTGATCAGCATTATCCCACCATTACTGCAGATTGAAGCAAACTGCCTCTATTTACAAGTCCTATTCAATGCTAGGATTGTACTTTTTTTTATCATCTTCTTTTACAATTTTTTCCACTTTAAAAATTCACATCATATGCACAAGCCTAAGACAAATAATTATCATAACTCATTTCTAACCCAAACTTTACAGGAAACTGAGGCCAAAACAAAACAAAAAAATGTTAAAAAAAGAAATTAATCAAATCAAAAATTGGACAGGGTAGTATGTATGTCCATGATAAAAGTTTCAACATTTATTTTCCTTAGGAAATTAAAATAATTTTTTGTCACAAGTTCATTCTCTTGTCCAGAATTCATCATAGGAACTTGTTCAATGGGTATGTGCATTTGTAATTTCCTGTTGCTAAGTTTAGGCATCTGGTGCTAACTCACAGGTTGCTAACTCACTAGCTATTGCATCTGCTGCTAATTTATCATAGAAGCATGCTCACATGTTGCTAACAAACAATGTAAAGGGCTTGGTGATAACCAAACAAAATCTTTCTATGTGGACTTTCAACAAACACCTAGAATGCATGAATACAAAACACCAAAATCATGTATCAAACAAATTAAAGCAAAGAAAATTTCATGGACCAAGAAAATTTCATGTATCAAACAAAATCATGGACCAAGAAAATTTCAACCAAGGTAAAGCAAAGAATGTGTTTGAAGCAATACCTCGAATCAGTTGCTTCTTGGCCGTTGGAGGCTGAAATTTTCAGAGAAACTGGACGAATTGGAGGTTGCTAGACCGTGGTTGATGCTCAACGATGGTCTTCCTTGTCGTCGGTGGCCACCCAGGTCGTCGTTGTCGTCGTCGGGGTCAAGCCCTTGGGTCGTGGTCGTCTGTCTCTCTATCTCCTAGATACGCGGATTTGTTCTCTTCAGTCTTCAAGGCTCGTGAGATGTACACTGAGTGAGGCGCGTGAAATGAATCCAGAGTTTGAACTGCCAGCTCAATTCGAGGCATTCGCGTCTCACTTCGTCGATGTCTGTAGCAGCGTTGTTTTTTTTTTTTATGTACTTTAATAAAATTTTGAGTTGTATGTTTGGTTATGTGTTATAAATTTTTGTATTAAATATCATATGTCACATCAAAAATTCTCCATTCAATTCAAAATTATTTTCAAAACTCTTTCACCAAACAAACTTTCCACACTCAAATCATAATTCCAAAACTCACAAATTCAAAATACAACTCATACTCTCAAATCATATTTACAAAACTCTACCAAACGCAACCTCAATCTTTTAATGTAAAACAAATAGTTGACGCTTTTTTAGAATAATTGGAATAACCAGGATACAAACTTTTATTAAACTGTCGAATATTTTGCACCTACCCATTGATCTGGACTCCACACCATACATGTGTGTGGTAGGTAAAATATTCAATAATTTTATAAGGATACCTATCTTTTTCTATTTAAAAAAAAAAAGAAAAAAGATTGAAATAGTGGTCAAGGATAAAAATGTAATTTTAATAGACAATCTCTAAATCACTTCTAGTCTGACTAGAATAGGACATACAAGAGTCACTACCTTGCTATGACGTAAGCTAAGATAATTTATCAAGGGGTTGGTTTAGTGGTAAGACCTTTGAATCTCTCGTTCAAAATTTAGGTTCGAGTCTCTATATCCCTTTGTTAAAATTAAACATAATCTTTAGGACTTGGAGCATACAGGGGCCTAAACTTCGGCCTTGACGTAGGTGCAGTAAAATTCTCTACAGATATGCTGCAAGTGTTAAGGGACAATACTCCCTGACGGATATATTAAAATAGTCTATCCGCATATCCATCTTTCAAACCAAATAAAAAAGTAAGCTAAGATAATTTGTATTTTTGTCGTTTATGAAAACTTTAAGTTTCATTTGTTTTGGCATTTTTCTAAGGCTTTCTAGCATTTCTATTTTAGACTCAACCAAAAGTTTGTTAACTTTGATTATTTTATGCTTTATATTTTGTGTTTAGCCAAGAATTAGACTAATTAATTATTTAATATTTCAATTAAGATTTTTTTATATTATAAATAAAGTGTAAGTCTAACGGCATAAACTTTCTTCATCAATAATATTCCAATTATTTTCATTTTTATTTATTTTTAGTCGATTCTAATTTCTCTAGATATTGACATTGGTCATGTCAAATTATTATATATTGTTGCGTCACTATTTAATTGATTAGATTTAATTGCATTGATTTTACGAGGATGTAAGATAAATGACAAAGTTCTTGACAGTGAACTTGATGACAACATATCACAATAATTCTACAAATGAACTAATAATAATAATAAACAAAGTTGTAGTTGTTAACCTTAGTATATAAATTAAAGTAATGTTAATCTATCAGATTAATTTAATTAGCCTGTTGGGACTGTTGATTTGTTGGATTGTTGAATATTGAAAATAAATAATAAATAATAATAATAATAAAAGAAAGAAGAAAGACTTTAGAAGCAAGAAGATGACTTTAGTTTGGTCATTGCTTGATAAATAAATTAACTAATTAAAACAAGAGATCAAATCAAGGGCTGCAAATATTTGTTGTTTATTTAAACTCTTTTATTTACAGAATTACATATGGATGGAAAGCATATTGGCAATTTGAATGAAGCTAAATTAAGATAGTTTGTGCACCTTAAATAACAAGTTATGAGTTTTGTTTTTTCCTTTTTAACTAGGCTTGTTTCAATTTGGATCTTGCCTAAAACCATATGCAATCCACACAACCCACTTGATTTGACTTAGTTTTGAAATATAATTATTTTGAGTTTTAACTTCTTCTTCTTTTTTTCTTCTTTTTTTTTCTTTTTTCGTGAGAGTAGATCGTGGATCTTTGCTTGTGAAGGCAAGGGCAGAGGGAATAGGGTTGGAGGGGTTACTAAGTTTTTTTTGATCGAGGAGGGGTTACTAAGGCCTCGTTTGAGAACTTTCCCTTTTAGTCAAAAAGTTAAAAAGTTACTAAATTAGTCAAAAAGCCAACAACTCATACTAAAAAGTCAAAGATTTTCTTTTCTCTCTACTTTTTGCACATCTTTTCGTAAAAAATCAAAAAGTCATCCCCAACATACTAGTTTTTTTTAGCTCATATTTTAGCCAAATAGTCAAAAAAATTACTAAATTAGCCCGTTCCCAAACGAGGTCTAAGTTTGATTCACCGTTTATAGTTTGGACAAATATGGCTCAGTCATTAGATTACTTAGATTATTGCCTAAGGCTTACAAAAAAAATATTATATGGTCGAAAGTCCTAAGGCCTCATTTTTATATTTAAGATTGTTTTGAAAATTGATCTTTTAGTAGTTTTTTTACTTTTTATTTTATAAAAAGACGTTAAAAAAATTAAAAAAATAATTAATTTTTTTATAATTGTGACTTCCCAAAAGAGGACTCCAAAAACTTTGGGCTGCTGCTGAGCTTGGGGAACGCAAGGGTTGGACACAGATTGGGTTTAAAATGCTCTCCTGTTCGAGTATGGGGTGCGCTAGTAGGCTGTGTTTGATTGCAGTTTTGGGCTTTGTCTGTGTTCTGTAGTCTCTTTGGAGAGCCCCATGGGCCACTTGTCACGTAGTTCATGGGCTACGAGAGTTTGTTTGTATGTTGGATGCAACCGATATATCACGAGGCATTCTAATTAAAATCTGATTAAGTGGAATCATTATATGTCATTACTAATGTTAATTCTTGAGTTTTTTTTAAAAAAAAAAAAAAAAAATTAATCTTAGTCAAGTTATATATATATATATATATGGAAATGTCTAGAGACCTAGACTAATCCACCCGGAAAATTTTGGGTGAGTAATTGTGTGGTGAAAATTAATTTGTGTAGTATAGGGTCTATGTATATGAAAAATCTGAACCGTAAGATAAAAATTCTAGGCAATTTCTAAGTTGATAATGGTGGATTCCTAATATTACTGTATATATATTTCCAATAAGATCGGTAAAATTAACTTTTTATAAACATGTTAAATTACATGTAAAACAAGACTTTGAGACATTTAATCTATTTGCTTCAACAAATGGAGCGCTTTTACAAATCTGACTTTGAATATCTCGGCCTTTTGAATTTGTATGAGATAAATAACTAACAACAAACAAAATGTCAAATGTCTTATAATCACATGTAAATGATCTCAAACCCTTTTAAGTATCAAGTTTCCACTAAGTTTTTTTTTTTTTTAAATAAAAAAATTATTTACTTAATAAAAAAAGGCCCCCAACTTTATTTTTTAATTTTTATAATTAGATTCAAATTTTGAAACTCTAAAAAGTTAAAATTGTGTATTTTATAATGTTTATACAAAAATGTTAAAAATAAAATTCAATTATGTATGCTTATTAGTCTTTATTATTTTAGAGAGATTGAATATTTTTATGTAGTTAAAATATTTGTTAGGTAAAATTTGAGATCTACTTTAATGTATTAAATGTAAAGCATAAAATAATTTGTTTTAAAGAAGACAAGAGTATGCATTTGTACCCCCGATGCAGCTATAACCCCCTTTCCCCTTCTCTCTCTCCTCGGTTGTTAAGACATTAGCCATACTCAACAAACTAGTTAATTAGCTAAACATGTAGAGGACTATTTCACAAACTCATTGGAGCCCATAAAAATAAAAATAAAAATAAAAAATACTAGACCATCAGATTGAGGGGTAATAGCTTTTTGTAATCACTCACTTTGGAAAAGCACTTTGTTCTTTTCTTCAACTATGGAATGGTAGTAGTAGAGGTAGATGGGGCTTCCTACTAACATATATATATATACAACCAAACCTAACCTAAGCTTTGGAGTTAGGACATAGGACCACTCACTGTACTGCACAAGTCAGCTGTCAGTGATCCAAAAAGGTAAAAAATAGGACCACTTCCACTTACTGATTATATTTTCATGAGAATGGGACAAAGTTGGATTCTTCCCTTCCACCTGTTCCCTACCCCTGTTTTGTGCTATCTAGTAAAATAGATATGTATTATACAGATATATATTTATGTGTATAAATGGGTATTAACTGATCAAAAAACTTGTGGATTTGTGAGTTGAGAAGACATTTTTGCAGATACTTTTGCACATCTATTTCTAACAGGCTAGACAGAGTAATGGGATGTCACTGTTCACACCATTCATGAAACAACCTCTCACTTCCCCATTCATTGTCAATATAGTTGGCCATCTTTCTGTGGGAAATTCTGTACTCCAATCCAGAATGAACATTTAACTATCTGTCCTCGTCCCGAGAAAATATCCGGAACTCTCGGAGCAAAGTTATGTGATGTTCCAAACCCACCTTGCATCCACGTGATTAGTCCATATCAATGGGGTCCGATCCGACCTTATATGTCGGTGTTTACATTTTAGCCCAACAGCATTATTATATCATAGTTCTTAAATATCATTTCTCATAAACACATTTTCTGAATTCACCACAAGAAAAAAAAAACTGCAAGAATTTGCCCATTTCATGTAAAATTCTTCCACCAAAGCAAAAACCAGAAGCAAAGAGTAAAATAATTATAATTATACCCAAAACCTCTTTGTTTAAGAAAATCATACCTTCCAAGAAGTCAATTTACTTACAAGTAAGAACAGATTATACTCCCACCAAAAAAAAATTCAAATTTAAAAATACTCCATTTTACTATGTATTCTATAGCTGTGTACATACCCATAACCTCAAAAAGTCCTCAAAACTGTGCAGACAAAACATCAAATGAAGCAAGATTTATTTTATGCACGAAATAGGTACCTGAAATTAAATTCATATGGTCTAACCCAAACAAACTGCGAAAGAGGCTCGCCTTTTCCTCTCTCAAGGCACTTAATTGCTTCCTTTCCAAGTTCACTTGGTAGTTGAAGGCATATCCAATCAAGCAATGATTCCAAGTCTTTTGCAAAGTCAAGTAGATACCAATCCAAGAGCTTTGGGATCCCTAACAGCTTCCTTCTTGTTGAAACGCCAACCGCTGCCTGTAAATAGTCTCTTTTTGCTACTTCCAATTCGTTTTCTACCTGAGAAGCGGTGTACACTCTCACCTTCATTCAACAACGTTCATGAGTCAATAATAGCGCATAAACATAGATCTAATAAGGACTCTGATGGAAGTGTTTATGACTACAATGGTAGGTCTGGGCTGGGAAACGTTTTTGGCAATAGGTAAAAACATCAGGGGAAAAAAAATAACATTTTGAGGAAACAGCATATAATTTGAGAATATCCACAGGATTAAATGAATCCTATCTACCGGGTGCATGAACTTACAGCGGGGGAGGACCAGCTTCCACAAGAGAGAGCAAATGTTACCAACGGTTCAGACAATTCCAATGCAAAGGCACTCTGTGCTATCATCTCATTGTTTCTCACACCTTTCGCAAAGGTCTGGTGGAAAAATTATTAATAGGGTGTAGGGGACAGCGAATTCCAATTAAAAGCTGAAAGAGAAGCTTGTATATTGAAAGGGACTCGGCTTACATATTTTGAGTGGTAAGGCAGTCTCAGGATGAAATGTTCGATGGTGATTGCATTTAGCAAGTGCCCCCCAACATTTATTGTTGCCTGAGGATAAGAGGTAAAATTTCATCTGTCAATGAATTCATATATCCATCTACACACATAAATATAGAGTTCATGTCTAAACACAAATATAAGGATGTCAATTTATGAACTAATTTAACTGTAACGACCGTCCTTGGTTAGAATACAAAATAGTCTTATCATTACATGAACAAAATGATTGCCCGTTACCTTCTGCATTAGCTCAACAACCATCTCAGGACTGTCTGGTATTCCATGCTCAAGAAATGCCTGCAGCAATGAAGTATGTGGTAAATGGCTCTTTTCTTGACATGAATGGAATATAATAACACACCCATAACTTGTCTTTTATTTAGAAAACACTTGTAAGAATGGACAATTTAACTGAATATGATCAAATATATTAAGTATCAAAATTTAGTTAAACAGTCAGTTTCTGGGGTAGTATATAGATAGAAAGGTCTCACATACATTCATCATGCACGAATTGTACGTGTTAATCCAAAAAGCTAGCTTCTCCTGATGAGTGAGGCCGTTTAAGCTGAGCGAGGCAAGTTTCCCCAGGAGAAGTCTGAGAATGCGAAAGATAAGATAGTTACAGCTCCCAGCAGATCAAGAAAGTGAAAATTGAAAATCTAATCCAATTCCAAAGCAGAGACTTACTTCAGTCTACGAACAAGAAACACAGAATTTGTTCTTCGGTTTGGTTTAATTGAGGTAGCTTCAATTGCAAGTAAATCCTTATAAGGACCAATATCTCTCTTGCCAAATTCTAAACAGATACCATAAGGGTCCTTGAACTCTGTTGCCTCAGAGTTGTCACGTGAAGTCAATGCCGAAAATGAGGGCAATGTATCCGCTGTGGCTCTACTCTTTGACGAACTCATTCTTAAGAAAATATTCGATAAGCACGTCAAAATGTTCTCAGAGATTTTGTTTGGACTATCATCTCCGGATAATCTTTCATCTCGAATAATAGGAGTTGTCACTTCTGCACTTTCATGGTCTGTAACGCTGCATTCTAGCTGGACATACAAAAAGCCCGTGTTCATTCCACAGCAATCTAGAGACTTGACTCTTAACGAAATGAAATTAGGTGTTATTTGAGCTTATACCTCTAACTTTTGAGGATCTAAGCACCTCTCAGGTGGTCTATCCTCAATGGGAGGTCTCTTTACTGGAGTCTTGATTGTTTGTATTTTCAAATTCAATGACCATTTGTTCTTTGAAGAATTAGAACACTCTCTTTCCCTCGCCCATCATCTGAAAATCAAAATAGAGCATAATCAAATTTTTTTCCGATGTTTTTTCTTCAGTTAAGGGCCAATCAAAACAATGTATATTTAAAAGTAATACCGGGAAGAGAAGGTAAATGCCCCAATGTGGATGTTGCTGAACTGCCTTCAGTTTGAACTGAAAACTTGGATTGCTTTAGTTTGGAATTCTTAATTGGGTAGGGATCATATAAATCAGCTGAACTTTCCATATTCCTCTTTGAGGAAGAAATGTAAACAGCTTCCTGATAAAGGCCTTGTCTGAAATGCACGACCTGTTCTTCAAGCCTAACAACCTCCTCTTCCAAAACAGCCACTTCAGCAAGAAGCTCTAGTGTCTAAAAATTTCAGAATTCAGAATTATAATCACAATTCTCACCCAAAATACATTTTGTGGTCAAAATTCATTGACTGTTAGATAAAAAAAAATATTAGGTGAAATTGGGGAAATTGCATCAATGTCAATCTTTCCATTCAAATTTGTATGCCCATTATTCTCATTATTACTAAAAGAAGAGAAGGTAAATGCCCCAATGTGGATGTTGCTGAACTGCCTTCAGTTTGAACTGAAAACTTGGATTGCTTTAGTTTGGAATTCTAATTGGGTATGGATCATATAAATCAGCCGAACTTTCCATATTCCTATTTGAGGAAGAAATGTAAACAACTTCCTGATAAAGGCCTTGTCTGAAATGCACAACCTGTTCTTCAAGCCTAACAACCTCCTCTTCCAAAACAGCCACTTCAGCAAGAAGCTGTAGTGTCTAAAAATATCAAAATTCAGAATTATAATCACAATTCTCACCCAAAATACATTTTGTGGTCAAAATTCATTGACTGTTAGATAAAAAAATATTAGGTGAAATTGGGGAAATTGCGTCAATGTCAATCTTTCCATTCAAATTTGTATGCCCATTATTCTCATTATTACTAAAATTGTTTGTGGTTCGCTTATCCAAATTGCAAATACTATTCACAATTACAAATAAAAAAATGAAATCAAATATAAAAAATGTTTACACAGAGAGTGAATTACTAACAGATGGAGGCAGATAAGGAGGAAGACGAGGTAGGGCTCCCAAGGGTCTGGTGAAAGCCCTCTCCAATGCTCTGTGAACATTCTCTTCATGTCTAAGCTTCTTCTTTAGCTTATCTACCTGACAGTACAGGAACAGTATTATTGCAGAGCCATAATCAGTAGAATCAAACTTGGTATGGAATTCAAAAAAAAAAAAAATCAATGGCTAGTGTAATGTAGAGTGGTTACATCTTGTTGTAATGCCATTTTTTTCTCTCTGATTGAGCCCCTTCGACTAGTGGTTGCTTTCTCAGCATCCATTGCTCTGCTCCCCTGCATTTTCACCTTCTAATTTAAGCAATCAGAGAGAGAGAGAGAGAGAAGAAAAGACAAGAAAAATCTGCAACCCATTGTGGGAAATAATTAAAGAAAACAAGTACTTTTTTACACTTTGACAGCTGATAGATCAAAAATTCACAATCACTCAAAACAATGAAAAGGAGAAAAGAAAATAATCAAGTTTTCCCGAGAAAATTTTCCGCCTGGGAAATTGAATTGGAAAATTGGAAAATTTTGTTGTTTTTCAACGGACTGAATCCAAAAACCCATAAGGAATTTTCACATCAGAGGCCTACTTCTCGAAAGATTCTGGGAGATTTCAACTTCCAAAGAATGGCCATTGAATTTAAGGCCATGAGTTCTTTATAAAAGTTGTAACAGCTTCTACAGTAGAAAAAGCAAACCGTTTTTCAAAAACACACATCGATTTCAAGAACCCAGTTCAGACGTTGATTACAAAGTATTAGTAATTAGTATTGTGATTACATTTTCGTGCTTCATTGGAGCTTTCATAGACTGCAATGTAGTCCGGACTCTGGTATTCATCTTTTTATTGATAGCCAGACAGACAACGAGTTCACACTGCAAACCCACAAGAGCAACCTGTCAAATCCATAAATATGTACATAAATAAACACACTTCACATATCAGAATTAGAGAAACAACATCGAATTTGACATTAATGGGAAGAAAAAAGGAAGACCTAGAGAGAGGAATATCATTCCAATTCCATCAGAAAGCGGGAAAGTTTTAACCCAAGGCGCCAAACAAGGCCTTGATGAGTCCAATCCCCGAATCCCTCGATGGGTGTGAACTAGTAGTAATAATAAATCAACATAAACCCAGGGGCCTAGAACTGGAAGATATGAATGAGGTCTTCATAGGACACCAGAGGAAGCTTATCAGAACTAGAACTAAATATGTACATACATATATATACTGATATAGATAATGGAATGATACATATGTATGTATCTGAACAGAGAGAGAGAGAGAGAGACACGATGTTTACAACTGTATGTATGTGGTTCTTCATGTCCAAATTTTTATATTGGATTTAGTTGGGGGTATTTGAGAAAATAATTTTTTTTAAAAAATAAAATATAAATAAAATATATTTATATTTCATTTAAATTTATATATATATTTTTTTTAAAAAATAAAATATAAATAAAATATATTTATATTTCATTTAAATTTATATATTTTTTTTTTCTTTCTAAATTTCTCACTAAATCCGGTAACTAAACCCACACGGCATTAAGAGAGAGTGTGAAAGGTAAATTAGTTGGTTGTGACCAGAGATGCAATTAATTCGGTATAAACATCATCACTAAATTGATAATGTTAATTTTATTATTTTAGATTGCAAGCAATATGAACAGTTTCTCACATCTCAAAGGGTGGTAGTAGTGGTGCATCGAGTGCGCTATAGCGCCGTACGAAAGCAAACTAAAGGCGCACAAGCTGCCTCGCAGCTTCATCATGAATAAACGTGCGCTTCTCTTGTCTTGTCTTTTTTAAAAAATCGCAAACTACAGCATCAGACCGCTTTCCACTTTTTATACTTCCTTCACCTCTTCACCTGGTTGTGATATTACCGAAATGCCCTTGAATTGTGCCTTAAATATCAATAATTATAAATTGTAGGATACAGGAGTATTTTTTTTTTTTATCAGATAGGAGATAGGAGATAGGAGTATGATTTTGTAAATTACACTAATCTCTTTTAAAATTAAAAATATATATTCTATTTTATAAGTTTGATATAATTGTATTAAATTTTTTTAAAATTTTAATTCACACAAATTTTATTATTTTTTTGTCACTAATTTGTTAATAGTATGGATATAAAATAATATTATTATCTCTTTTATATTGATATATATTTACCATTGTTTATTCCCATATCTACAAAATATATGTATAATTTTTATCACTTTAGTCTAGTCTTATGAAAGAAAAATTTAATATAATTAGGTCAAACTTATAAAATTTATATTATTTTTAAAACTTCGAGAGTGGTCAATGTAATTTACTTACTTGTTTTGGTAAAGAAGAATATGAAACACAAAAATTGTGTTGCAAAAATGAAAAAAAAAAAACTCAAATTTAAACATCACATCTAACTAAAATAATACCCAACAATCCCTTTATCTTTTAATGTTATTACAAATTGAGTCAAGTGCTTTCATGCAAATCTTTGATTTGATTTTTTTTTTTTTTTCTATGAATGAATTATTTAACAATTAATCATAAGCAAATTAAATAACTCATACCAAACGGGGCACTAAATTACCTACTTTAGTTTTGAGGGTAGATGAAGAAATTGTCTAATAATAATAGTAAAAAATAAATTGCCCAAAACACATGACTAAAACCAAAGTATTTTTTGGCACTTGAAAAATAAAATGTGAAGACATTCCAAGAGATGGAGGCTATTGGGGGTGGGTTTGAACACATGGATCCATAGCTCTCTTTATTAATTAGAGAGGCCAGTTGTCATGCTCAATTCACATGCAGATCCATTGGACCATATTATTATTTTCTATATCATGTACATATATATATATATATATATATATAATAATGTCTCTCCTTTGCATTTTCTCTAAATTTTTACAAGTAAAATGAAGTCATATTAATTGCTATTCTCCTAGAAATTAGTTGGTAGTTTAGCAAATCTGCATTAATTGCAAATTAAATTGGTCAATATCATGTACATGTATGTTTTTTGTCCTTTTTTTTGGTAGAATCATATCTTTCATGTTCTCTTTGATCTTTAATTTTAATAACAAAAATAAAAAGGGTGGTGGAAGATAAACTAATTAATACTCTTAATAAAGAGAAATCATAAAACATATTATCTAAATCATTCATTATCTTTAAATTACTCAACAAAGATAAATGTATTATCCTATACCCATAATTTTTTTTTTACCAAGCCATTCATTGAAAGTATTATATGAATAATATCATGTGGTATAATTATTTATATTGCAAACATCCGTTTCATGAAGTGCCATGGAACCATGAATTCCTCGGGTATTTTTATTTTTTATTTTTTAAGAAAAAAAAAAAAAAAAAGGAAATAATTTTAGCTTTTCCCTCCTCCATATCTGCATCCCTTTCACCTTTTGTAAAAGAAAATGTTCTACCTTTAGAAGACAGCACATCAAAGAGAAAAAAGGATAATTCCTTAATTACAAAACCCATCGCAATTCATTAACATTATTATTATTATTTTGGGGCATTTACACACAAATTTTAATTTATGAATTTATACTCTATTAAGTCTTGACTAAGATTTTTTTGACCTTTAATTCCTATCAAATTTTTAATAATCAGGATTGCACTTCAAATAATGATTGTTTATCATTTTTTATTATCTATAAAGGAACCTGATAATTTGACATTTATTTTGATTTTCAAAATTATAAAATATCAACTTTCAAATTGACAAAAACTATAAAAAAAAAATTACGTGCAAAAAAAAAAACTAACATGTTTTTTTAAAAAAAAATTGAAAAAAATAATTATTTTTTGTGCAAAACTAAAAATTTTGTATTTATAAAAGAGCACGATGATGGAACATTGATATGCAAAATTGAAAAAAAAAACTTTAAAAATAAAAAAATTATTAATGTTCTCAGTTTTAAAATTGAAAAAAAAAACTGATAATATTCTCGATTTTATAAGGACAAAAACATTTAATCTCATGCTCTTTTTTTTTATCATTTAGTGAAACAATTATCTAAAACACTACTAACTATACAAAATTGATAATGTTCTTAGTTTTAAAAATTGAGAAAAACTTATAATATTCTTAATTTTACTAAATAAGACTTATTGGTTTAAATTTTTTTAAATATGACATGAGTTATCATAACATTTATAGATAGGATTTTAAGTAATTAACTCTATTATGTTTTTATTTTTTACTTTTTATAATAAAAAAAATGTGGATTTTAACAATTTTCTCACATTGTTAAAACAATATTATGACTTTGCGAATAAAGTCTGTTAAACACTTTTTTCTTATAAATAACTAATTTGAATTGTGAATGAACTGAACGGATTAAGATAGTAAAAAAATAGATAAAAATTGATCAAAATAGGTGCAGTTTTACAATTTGAATTGCAAATGAACTCTTTATAGAATGGATTAAGATAGTAAAAAAATAGATAAAAATTGATCAAAATAGGTGCAGTTTTACAATTTGAATTGCAAATGAACTCTTTATAGAATGGATTAAGATAGCGAAAAAAATATATAAAATTTAATCAAAAATTTATCATGGATCGAATAAATAAAATAATATATTCTGACTAAAATAGTGAAAAGAAGAGTAACAAGGTGATCTGAACACTTATTAAAAACAAATTAGATATAGGTGAGGAAGAGAAAAGAAGGCAATATTAATGGGCGGTGACAGACAGCCTGGTGATGTTAAACTTTTAAGGCCGGTGAAGCCGAAGGCAGTGAACAAAGCAATGGGCAGAGCCCCACACCCACAGCACGTGACAGTGACTCCGAAATCCAAAAGGCTCAATATTTTATCATATTAATTTCAATGCCATATTATTTTCTTAATTATTAGTCAATTGTGAGTTTTAGTGATTTAACGTTTGATCCATCCATGCACAACAACCTCAATTTGAATGACAAAAATATCCTTTTTATGAGGATCTAAAAGTGTTGGCCTCACGGTGATATATTTGTAATGACACACATAAGGCTCGATTGAACAAAAGAATTTAAGTTTGATTCATTCAAAATTTATTTAAAATTTTTTCAAGTTAAATTTGAATCATTTACTACTCAGCTTGATAAATATACATGCATTATAAAACATTAAATTATTTAAGCTTGAATTGAAAGATAAAAAATAAACTTGAACTCATTTTGAAATTCATCAAATTTGCAAAGTAAAATTAAACAATTTACTATTTAGTTATAGACTGACCCAATTTATAACTCTAATGATACACAGTCACATAAATGAGCTCAGACCCTTTCTTTCAATCATTTTCCATATGTTCATCTCAAATCATCTCTCCCCTATATAATGAGTTTCTTTAATGAAAAGGAAATGAGGGACAAAAAGGTGTAAGACATAGGATATTGGTTAATAAATTGTTTTCAAAATAAAATTACCCCAACGTAAACCTATAATGTTGACAAATGTGTGTCAATCTAAGGGTTAACTCAATATAAAAACAACGAAAGGGTGACTAAAAAAAGCATTAAACTAATAAAATCATATCTTTCTTCTATAATCACAATTGTATAATGAAGATAAGATTGAAAGCTATATATATATATATATATCAAATGCATAATGACACTTTGCAATTCATTATTAAAGATGACATTAAGACATCAACATCGTGGCCGTGCACGGTAAGTTTATAAAGACATTTAAAGCAATAATTATCTACTTTTTCTTTTCTTTTCTTTTCTTTTCTTTTCTTTTGTGTATAATAAGAAATAGCAGTATGATGTAACAAGAAAATCTAATTTTTATGCGTATCACAAAAAGGTCTAAAGATGGAGATGGCATCACCATATCACATTGATTAATGGAGGCAATATGGCTTTGGCTTTCTAAAGGATTCAACATTTATTTATTTTTTAATCAGTCAAACTTAGTGATTAATTGTTAAGTTAGTACCTTGAAAGAGTTAAAACTTGTACTCATACATCTTGCAAGAAAAACTTTCCTTCCCATTTCACTCTTAAGAGTGGAACCTAAGACCTCTCCTTGAGTAAGAGTTGATGCCAAAGAGCAATCCAATTAGGTTAGAGTCCCTTAGTTTCTCAAAGATGTAACATGCTTCATTTTTTTCAATAATCATGTTATCAGTAATATTAAGAATAAAAAATTTAGTTACTTTTTTTGATGAATTTTTAGTAATGTTAGAAATTTATATATATCAATTAGGGGTGTTCGCGGTTCGGATTTGGACGGTTTGTGGATCGGTTTGGACCTGCCCACATCTATGCGGTTT